CATATTGGGTACAGCAAAAGAACAATAGTCCAAATGTATTAGGATATGGTGACAGCCCTCTCTGCCATATTGGTTACAGCAAAAGAACAATAGTTCAAATGTATTAGAACGGGGTGACTGTCCTGTCTGCTATATTGGGTACAGCAAGAAAACTTCTATTGTCTGATTGAAGATTTCTCTGTAAATTGACATACAAAATTTACCCTGGTTACTCAGACATCTACACAACAACAGTGCCATAAAACAACAACAACAACAATAATAATAATAATGATAATAATATTTTTTGTAATGATTTCCCCTTCATATTTTGAAGATTCTTCTGTGAGTTTACTTAATTTTACATCTGTGGCATAATTCTAGCTCTTCAGACTCTCTATCTGATCTGTCCTTACATATAAGCATTCTAATGAACGTTTCAACTACTTTAATCAATTGTACGATATTATACAACTAAGAAACTGATGCTGATGTGTCAGCTATATATCGAACGGGTTGTACTAACCATTATGATCAGTTGACTCGCAGTCTCTTGTTGTTTCAGGATGAAACTTGGAGGCAGCCAGTTAAACAAACAAGTTGATTCAAAACACGACAATGACAATAATCATTAATGATAATAATTACAACAAAAAATACGTAAAGATTACGAAAATTTAACTTATTTTTAGGCCAGCATAACTTCTCTCGAAAAGTGCTCAATACGTCACTGAAGCTATAATATTCAGTAAATCAATAAAAATTAAATTGACCCACTCTAGAGTTTCGCGTCGAAACGCTCATCAGGGCCAGATGCTCCTTTTCTGCTAAATATAAGTATAACATCTATGCAAATTCAAAATTTAACTGACCAGTCATTAATCAGAAGGCAAATGAAATAAAAATTATCGACATCTTCATATATATTATTTTAAAAGAAAAAAATGATGTATTATATGTCCCAGCCTGCGCATTTGAGAAACTTTAATAAAGAAAATGTCCTCTTCGGCAGGATACGAATATGCGTCCGCATTTGTAGAAAGCAACCACCGTCTAATTCGGCATACTTTAGACAGCTCTACCACAGGTTCGAACCCTGGTTAAAAGATGTAATACACACTGTGGAAAAAAAGTGTATCCATTAAAAATAACGTTTGAAGTAATAAAAAATGACGGATAAAACATAAACCCCTTAATTTCACACACACAAACACACACACATATATATATATATTCATTCACAGTAATTCATCTAAAAGAATCCTCAACAGAATGTAGGAAGGCACTGGACGGCCGTCTCGTCCTATTTGGGACTCCTCAGCAGTGCGCATTCACTACCGGGAATCGAACCCGGACTGGTACGAACCCAGATCGTGGCGGATGCGCACTGCTGGGGAGGCTCAAATAGGATGAAACGGCCGTCCAGTGCTTTCTACATTCTGTTGAGGATTCTCCCAGACTCAATGGACTACTATGAATGATTATTCAAATCCCTCCAAATTTCTATCAAAGCATTAATGCTACTGAGACACAAGGGATTACTTGGTGTGGAAGAATAATAAGAAAATAGAATCATTGCTTAGGAGCAAGAACAAAAGAAGAGTAATCAGGAGGACAGTAGATAGCGATTGACAGGACATTTAAATTTTTGAAGATCAAAGTTGCCTGGAAAGCATAGAGCCGGAAGGGAATTCCACAAGTGAGAATTGCAAGAGAAGAAACTCTTACCATAGAACTTACGGTTGCATCTATTATCCAACTCAACTATAAATTGATGAGACCTCGTCGCTAGTTTAGTACTGCGCTTAAATTCATAAAGTCTAAGTACCATAGCCAAGAGGTCACCCGAACAAATATAATGAGAGTATTTAGAGAAAAGCCACTAGGAAGCAACTTTAGGGTGGTGGGAAAGTGACTGAAGATCAGGATCAATGTTATTGCTGATTCTTCTTTGGATTTTATCAAGGATCTCTAAATAATTAGAAAGAGAACCGCGCCATATATGGTAGCAATATTTTAAGCATGGACGAATTGTAGACTTATAGATATGTAAGGTAGATTATGTAGAGAAAAAATGCCTAGCACGACACAGTGAACCAACTTTCTTAGCAGCTGATCTAGCAATAGATTTGATATAGTCTTTCTACTTCATGTCTGCCGAGAACGTAAACCTGAGAAGATGCAACGAGTCACTCTCCTAGAGGTTAGCATCAGCCATGCTGATGGAAGGCAGAGAAGTCTCTCAAATGATTAATAGAGCGTAGCTTAGTTTTGGAGTCATTAAAATTAACAAGCCATCCTTTGCCCCATTTAACAACAGAGGGTAGTTTTTGTCATCAGCCATCAATTTGACTTTATTAGGCTGATCGAACTTACTATCAGGACAGTATATAGTAAGTAACTGAATGACAAAATGAAAATGAATTCTATATAACAAAAATGTTTAGAAAGTGCTTTAATCTCTAGATCATTAACAGAAAATTTGCGTCCAGGTTCAACATTTTACCATTCTTGGCAGATCTTGTATTATCCCAATGTCGGATATTTAATAACAAATGTGATGGAAACGTAAAAAAAAAAAGAAAAAGGAAAAGAAAAAAAGAATGTAAATGAAATCGGCTAGATTATATTCACAAAACACATTTTTAAATTTAATTCTCAGCGTCTCTCTTTCGTTCGTGCGCATGTGTAGTCGCATCAACATAAACATGAACTTAGTCTAATGAAGTTCTATAATATAATAGCTATAATATTCAATAAATCACAAGTTCAAGTGACTTATCTGGTGAGCTGACTCAAAACTTTTGAGTTGAAAGGTTTTATTTAAGATTTATGAAACATCTGGCTCTGATGTTGGTCAGTCAAATGGTTTACTTGAACTTATCTTGATTTACTGAATATTTAGATTTAAAATTCTCAAAATCTCTTTCGTTTGTGCACATGTGTAGTAGCATCAACATATACAAACTTAGTCTGATGAAGTCTGACAGGACGAAACGTGTGACACGAAAATTTTTCCCACTTTTTCATACTTCTTTCCTCCTAAATTTATTTCTTGATACATAAAAAAATGTATATATCGTTATTCCATACATATATATATATATATATATATATATATATATATATATATATATATATATATATATATTTAAGACATTTTTTTAAGTTCTTTTATAGATACAAATATTTAAGTAAATGCTCTGTTTATAATAAAACAGTATTAACTGGTCTGGATATATATATATATATATATATATATATATATATATATATATATATATATTAGTGTAACCCGGATATAAGAGAGTTGTCGGGACCGGAGAAGAAGTTTCTTATATCAGGGTTTCTCTTATATCCGGGTTAGGTCTATTTTTTATACATTAACACAGGCTCTAATTTGGGACCAGAGAAAATCTCTCTTATATCCGGGTTTCTCTTATATCCGGGTCTCTTATATCCGGGTTACACTGTATATATATATATATATGTCATCAACAGACAGACTGTTTCGCAGCTCATCAGTGTGGCTCAATATCCAATCGCTTCAAGCCGGGACCGAAACCCGACCGATTTGGTATTAGTTAGAGATTATAACCTGTAGTCTATCGACGCCCGACAGAGAGAAAAAAAAGGCGAATTTTTACGTATTTATTTGTATAGATTTGAAAGATTAACACTATGCATTACACAATTACATCTTAAAAGACAACCGTGAAAATAAATTAACAATTAACAACAAATTGTTTGAAAATGGCTAAAGAAGTGGCCGAAGGCGCTTGAGACAATAGACACCATAGACAATTTTCACACTCCCTTACACCCACACATCGGAAAAAATATAAGAAAAACTCAATAAAAGATCGATCAAATTTTCCTTGCCTATCATATTCAACGAAACATGTTTGAGAAAATTTTGCTGCTCAAATATACATATATACATACATACATATATATACATTATAATATGTGATAAAAATGTCAAGACAAAACGTCTTTAAAAAGAATGGCAATTTTTTTTATATTTTTATGTATATAAGTGTACGTTTATGTAAGTAAACAGTAGATCTATATTTCGAGATTAAAAATAATTAGGGAGGAATGCTCATGTCTGTAACATTTTATATAAATGCATCATGTGTGAAGTGACGCAAATACGTCACCAAGCATGCGCACATATGAAAATTTATAATACATGGGATAATTATCATTCTCCCACCCCGACGGGTATATGATTTGGTATAGGTCAGTGTCACATTGCTGAAATACCTACCAACAAGAACATTATTAAAACAGGAAAAAAAAATCTAGTTTCAGTGACAATAGCCACTGACAAAAAGGCACTCAGTACCCATAGTGGCAAAACGTTAACTCTTTTTAAAACAATCAGAATGTTTACGTTATGAACAAGAGGACAGGCGCTGTTGCCCTCGTCAAAATGGCCTCCACGTTTAAAAGTGAGAAGAGAGAAGAAAAACTGATGTTAAAAAAGGTTACAATAATAACAACATCTTAGTAATCTCTGTCTTTTGATGATCATATTGAAGAAAGAAAAAAATCCCTTGAATTAAAAACCAACAAAAATAAGGTGATCAAAGAAATATTAACCAAAAATGAATACGGCCAATGTCCTATAATGGTTCCTGAATTCGCATTCATATTTCATACGCTAAATGTAACAACTATTATGAGACTTCTTCTTCTTCTTCTTCTTCTTCTTCTTCTTCTTCTTCTTCTTCTTCTTCTCTGTGCCATATCCCTTCAGTACGTGGGCAATCATGCCTCTCCCCAACTTCCTGTTCTTTGTAGCTATCAGTATAGTTTGTCTTTTTGCTATCTCTCCTGGTCACTATTTTGCCAACCATGTACGCAATCTTGTTAGGTAGGTTATGTGCTGCTCTCCTCTGTCGCTCTTGCTTTTAATAGGCCATGTAAGTGTCACATTTTCCAAGCCCTTTTTTCTTATTATGTGCCCTAGAAACTTCAGCTGTCTCTTTCTGATGTTGGTTTGCAGTTACATCTTGTTGAAACACCGGTTCTCGTACGATCACCAAAGTTAAGCAACGTCGAGCCTCATCAGTACCAAGATGGGTGACCGCTTGAGGATACTGAGTGCTGTATGCTTGGATGTGCGTGTGGTGTAATGGATAATAGCTCGGCGTTGTTAATAGGAGTGTCGAGTTCCAGTTGGGTTCGTTATGTTCACTTACACGAAGGGAAATGCATAAATCCACTTCTTCTCTCCCCCGCCAGTTATGTAGTAAATAGTAAGACTTGTATCACTAACCCATTAATACTTAAAAGAAAAGCATTCTTACAATCGAAAAATATTTTCAGGCTTTGAATAACCTGCAAAGGAGTGATAAACTGTAGAAAACAAATAAATCGATCAACCAGTTAATCATTTTTTTCTAGTGCTAAGTATAAATGTCCTTGTTTCCATTTTTTCTAAAACTTTGTCGTTGTTCATGTGTTCAATCCGTGGTATTCTCAGCATGCTTCTGTAGAATCACATTTCTATTGCTTCAAGTCTCTTATTCATTTGTGATCGGAAAACCAATATTACATAACAGTTCTATTTTTGTTTCCAATGAAATTTTCCACTTCTGGATGGCATTCTTCGCTGTCCCAATTCTCTTTCGAATTTCAGTGTCATACGTCCACTTTTAAAACCCTTCCTAGATATTTAAATTTTTGTATGGGTTTAATTTCGGCATTTCCAATTTGTAATTCGCATGTTGGGCTGTTACTTCTACCGATAACCATACATTCTGTGCCTTTACACTTGATATTTAGTCCTTTCTTCTCGCTTTCCTGTACAACCTTCTATAGGAGTTCCTGCAGTTTTCTTTCTGTGTCAGCTATCAATACTGTGCCATCTGCATATTTAATGTTATAAAGATTGTGGCCGCCAAAAATGAATCCAGGTAATTCTCCCAGGATTGCTTCACTGTAAAGGCTGGATAAGTCCGGCGAGAAAACTCATCCTTGTCTTACGCCAATTCCTTTTTTCTATATTTACTCGATTCATTTTCTATTCATATAAAGATATACATCCTTCTGCATTCGTATTACTCTTTCTCATATTCTGAGTATAAACACAGCATTCCTTGGATTAAGTGTCTTTGGCGCAGTCACGCTTGTCCGGCCACTTTTAAACTCCTCTCATACACATTCCTATGCGGTAGTGCATTGTCGCAGTATTGTGTTAAAAGCCTCTGATTAATCTCAGCCCCTGACACACCTTCCGACCAGAGAAATCGGATCACTCCTCTTTGTTCCTCATTGGTGGAACGAGTACATACGAGTACATACGATCCATGCCAGTATCACTCTAGCAAGTGCCTCACTCCTCCTGCTCTTCTCTACCTTTACAAGAGCCAGATCAGGCCGGAAATAGATTACTGCTGGTATATATGGGCAGGAGCTGCATTCTCCACTCTCGATAGTGCCCCAAAGCGTCCCCACCTCCTTGTGAGTGACGAATTATTTTCTACCCTACAACCCCTTTCCTCACAGCGAGATTTAGTTTTCTATGCGTTGTTACATGAAATCTGTCGTCCCATTTTCAGTATCTCAAAAAAACATGCTCGTGTCGTTTCATCACAACAGTCCAGACCCCTAGAATTTTTCCAGTCCCGATGAAAGTTTGCACTGTCAATGAGGCTCCCAACCTAAACTGGAATTCATCCATCCAATCCATTGTTAAAGAACTTAGTATAATGGTCAGCTTTCTATATCGCCCCACTTAGTGCCCAACCCATTCTGCTATGCTTTATGTCAGTACAAAAATGGAATACTTTTTAATCATTTCACCTCATCTATGGCAATAAAGCCACTAAGTCCGATGGGGTTAATGAGTGTGAAAGTATATAAAGAAAAGCATTATTAATGTGCGAGAACAATAAAAGAAATGTATTACTACCATATTTGGTCTGGAGCTACACAATCCTCACTTTCCAACCTTGAGTTCAAAATCTTTTACGCAGTCTTGTTGGGGTAATATATTCTCTGCCCCGCAGTCTCCTTTACAAAGACGCTTCGTCGCAAATCAGTCGCTGCTTTATCGTTCGTTCTAAAACAAATGTTCGTAAGTGTTCCACGTTTTAGTCCCATCAATCCAGACCTTTACTGCTAGGACAAGCCACGCTAATTCACCCATATTTCCCCCGTGTTCCAAATGTCTTTACATTCCACTCAGGTAGTTTTTTTCAAGGAACTGTAACTTCGTGGAACAAATTTCTGCATAGGTGCTTTTCGATTGTCAGCCTCTACTTTGAGTGGCTCTCGAGCGTTGTATTGAGTGATATTTCATTAAAAAACTGTGACAGCAAATAAATATTGTTTAACATATATCTTATTGAAATTTCAACTAAATCTCTCTCTCTCTCTCCCCATCCCAAAATTTCGCTCTTTCCTTTCCAGACGTGCCGAGGTCATTCTTCAACAAGACGGCAAAACCCAGAGACGAATATGCAATATGATCCGGCATTCACTCAAAACGGTTAAATGTTACAATCT